TGGTGCGGAATCCAGGATGAAGAAAGCAGAAGGAGACAGCTAATGCGGAAGTCTGAGCGAGCGCGACATGTGGGCGGTGGGAAAAGTGGAATGGCTACAAGCGATGAGGGCAGCCGGGAACGAACGCAGAGGCCCACAAAGTGGGAGATCCCGCGGGTTGCGTAGGCGGTGGAACAGAAGCTAGAGACAGAGAACAGCCAATGGAGAGCCGCGCGCGGGGTGACGCTATAGCTGCAGCAAGCCAATGGGAAGGCTTGTGAGCGTGCACTACGGCTTTGAGGGCGGTGCCAAGGCGGAGCTAGCCAATAGGAAGGCTAAAAGGAGACCAAGAGGCGGGTGTGTCAGCGGCCACGGAGGTGGGACCATAGGGGGTCGAGCCAATGGAGGTGGAGGCTGAAGGCGGGAGCGAGGACGAGAGATGGCGGATAGCCAATGAGGGAGCCAGGGTGAAGGCGGCGAGACCATAAAGAGCAGTATGGGATGAACCAATGCCGAGGCTAGAAAGTGCCTCGGGGACGGAGGGAGGGCTTGGAGGCAAGACGCGAAAACAGCAGAGCCGACGGGGGCGGTGTAGGTGGTGTGAAGGGAGGCATGAGTAGCCAATGAGGAGGCCGGAGGGGAGGACGCTGTGTAGGCATAGTCTGAGCTATTGGGTGGCCGGACAGCAGGACCATTAAGAACGCAGGCAGCCATTAAGAAAAATGTGCCTCTCAGGGATGGAGTTACCCTCTCCCTAATCCTCCGTGACTCCCCATGGTCCCAGGAATACCCAGAGCCTCTGAAGGCCTAGACCACACCCTGGTGCATGACCTAGGAAAGAGAAAAGGACTCTCCTGTTGCAGTTAGTTACTTACTGGGTCCTCCCTGCCCAACTCCAACCTTTGCTTGAGCAGTGCCACAAGCCAAGAATGCCCCTGATTGTCAACCGCAAGCACGCTCCAGGACTTGGTGGTATTGTTGAATGAATGGCCGAATAGGATATTTAACTTTCTGAAGGATTCACTTTTTAAAATTTCAGCTTAGCAAACACTGAGGCTGACTGTCCGCTACCAGAAGTCGATTGGGCATATGGGTAGCTTCTGACCAATGGAATCACAATCAAAGCCCTGTCCTTCTTGCCCAGCCTGATACTCCACACCCCACAGGGGCCTCACCTCGCTTCTTTCTGTCCGCCCATCTCTGCTGCTACTGTTCCCTCTCGCAAGAGTGCTGTTCCTTCTGCTGCTTCCATCTAGTGAACTCCTTTCACTCTCCTTTTGCAGTCTCACCTTCTGTGGGAACTCAACTGCAGCTTTTGTCTGCTGAATACATCCATTCATACATTCCTTCTCCATCCTGGGAAGATTTACTGAACACCTACTGAGTGCCAGGTTCTGAGCATGCTGTTACCTCATTAGAACCTCACAGCATCCTAGGAGGGAGGTGATCCTTCCAGCAGCCCCTCTCCCCAGGTCTCCATGTCCAGGATGTCCATGAGTTAGAAAGAAATATGTTCAGTTGCAAGTAACAGAAAAATCATAAAATAATGGGGGCTTAAGCAAGATAGAACTTTATTTTTTTTCTCACCTAAAAGTTCAAGCTGGCAAATAGTCCAGGGACTCTTTCCCGCCCACCTGGTTTGGGCATTGCCTGTCCTGATCTGGCTCCAAGACCCTCAGTCTTCAACAAATCCTTTTGGCTGTCTATTAAAAATATTTACCAAATCCACCCTCTTCTCACCACCTCCACTAGCAGCAGTATCACCAGTCACCTAGACTACTGCAGTAACCAGCTCCTTGCTGGTCCCCTGCTTTCACATTCAGTCCCTAGACTCCATTGTACACTCAGCATTCAGGGGTTTCCTGTTAAATCCTAACACAGTTTATGTTTCTCCTCTGCTCACAACCCTGTCATGCCTTCGTCCTCACTCAGCGTTGAAGCCAAAGTCTTTACCACGGCCTACAAGGTCCTGTGTGGTCTAACCTCCAAGTCCCCTTTCTGACCTCACCTCCAACTTCTCTTCTTCTTGCTCTCCCCACACTAACCACACCAGCCTCTTTGTAGACCTTGAACAAATCAGGTATACTCCCACCTCAGGACCTTTGCCCTGGCTGTTTCCTTTGGAGTTCCTCAGCTATCTAGCTGGCTCCCTCCCTCATCTCCTTCAAGTCTTTGTCAGAGGCCCCTGTCTCTGGGGACTTTTCCTGACCCGTTTAATCTTGCCCAGTCACCCCCAACTCCCAACCCTCCCAGTCTCCCCGAGAAGCCCTCCATGAGAGAGGATATAGTCCAGTATAGAGAGGAGGTAGCGACCTCTACCCCTCTCTGCCCTTCTGACCCCAGCCCCCATTCTGCAAGGATCTTGGCTTTCAGCAGCCGTAGCATTTCCCTCTCACACCCTGGGCCCTGCCCAAAGGGCCAGCTGACATTCCCGGCCACCACCTTCACTCTGTTTGCCTCCTATCTCTCTGGCCACTCTCTTTCATGGAGTGAGTGACAGTAAGGGACAGATGGTCTGGAGAAGGTGTAAGGAGAATGCAGCCCACACCTCTGATCTTGAGAGAGAAAACTAGCCCCCATTTCCAGGAGGGAACAGGTGCTGGGGCACGGAACAAGGCCTCCACTGATAGAACTGGCCTGGTTTATAATTACACAGGAGGTGTAGGGAACATTCCGACCCAAGTCTGCAGGGAGCAAGGGGTCATTAACCATGGGAACATCACTGCAAGGGATCATTAACCTTGGGACCATCACTGCAAGGGGTCATTAACCTTGGGACCATCACTAGAATCAGCTCCCCAGGACTTCTTCCTGACATGCATGCTCCTCACCTCCTCCCTTGCTCCCTCCCACATGCTGTGACATCTGTTAAACAACTGCTGTACACGGGGTCCCTGCAGGCCTCCAAGCAGGGGACCTCATCCCACCTTGGTGCCTCCCCTGGCTGTCCAACACACCCAAGCCATTTCTGGGTCTCAGATGTGTCCCACCAACTCAGAAGTCTCAACCAGTGAAAGTTTTGTTTTGAACTAATGGTAGGGAGGGTTGGGTACTTTTCTTTTTTTTTCTTCTTCTTTTTTTTTTTTTTTTTCTTGTCTTCACAAAGCCAGGCCATCAGGCCCACTCTGGGCTTTTCCAGAAGGGTGAGTCTGAGTTGAGGAAAGAGGCCCTCCTTTTTATGAGGGCTTAGAAGGTTGGGGGAGGAAAGGGGGCAAAAGGGTGAAGGGGTGGGTCTTGGCCACCAGATTTGTACCATATAAATAAAAAGCCCTTTCCAATTTCTCTTCCCCAGGTCTGAAGCCAGTCTTGTAGAGGGCTGGAGTGGACGTTGGACAACTAGAACCCTGGGCTTTGCAGGGTGCTGGCAGCTGGAAGTCTCCACCATGGCCTGTCAGGAGAAGCCCCTGGGGGCTGGTCTACCATGCTGACCAGTGGTTGGATAGAGTGCCTGCTGAGGTCAAGAAATGCAGCTGCCAATTCCCGGACAACCTAAAAACCTCACAAGCTTCAAGTCTCCAAGGACTCTCCAAATCCCAGGATCTCCCTGTCATCACATCCTAGAATTTAAAACCTGAGACCATCGAGTTCAGGAAAACTTGGGGATTTCAAAGCCCAGCACCAAAGAAAGCGGGACCCACACTCGCCAGCTCTGTGATCTTGGGCAAGTTGCTTGACTACTTATACCTCCATTTTCCTCATCTGTATAACAGCAATACAATAATAATGAGATGGAGCTCAAGGGGCCATGGTGAGGTTTGAACATGATCACTTGTGAGACATGTTCAGCACTGTATCTGACCCATGGAAAATTCAAGATAAACATCAGCTACTGAGATGATGGCGGATATTTGGAATCCTAAATCCTTGGAATCTGGGGCTTTTCAAAGCAAAAGATCCCAAAGGCTGAGGGCCTCAGAAGGATCAGGCCATGATGTTCCTGAAACAAGAGGGTCAGGGTCCCAGTGGGCCTCTGGGCTTCTTCGTGAGGATGGATGCATTAATACTGGGGACCTCCTAGGGACCTTCCCAGTGGGACAGTGGCTGGGTCAGGGCACTCAAGCCCTAAAACGTGATGAGGCAAGACTTTTCTCTCTTTCCTCATTCAGTAACTATCAGTAGATTCTGGGAGCCAGGGATTCTCCGACTCTTCGATTCCATGAATTGTAGGGGATGACGGTGGACTCTCCACTTTCTTCTCCATGAAGTAACTTACATGCCCCTCACCCTCTGTGGGAGGGGTGTTGCAGGGGGTCCAGAACTCCCCTCGCTGGGTAGTTTGAGCAGTGGGGACGATATCAATTTCATCTATGGGGAAACTGAGGCCTGGAGCAGGGCAAGGCCTCTGGGAACCCAGCCCTATTCTGTCTCTTTCACTGGCATTTCCCATCCACACATAGAGCTTCAGATTCTCTCTTTCTTTCCCCCAGAGACCCTCAAATATCTTCTCACTCACAGAACGGTGTCTCTGCCTGCCTCGGGTTGGCCCTGTGATTTATTTTAGTTCTTTTCCCTTGTTTTTTTTTTTTTTTTTTTTTTGTCCTATATCTTTTACTCTTTTCGTATATTTTTTATCTTTCTGACTTTTTTTTTTTTTTTTTTTTTTTTCACATTCTACACACTTTTGTTTTAAAAACTGTGGTTTCTCATGAGCCCTATTATCTCATTGATACCTCTCACCTCTGTGGTGAGGGGAAGAAATCATATTTTCAGATGACTCGTAAAGGGCAAAGAAAAAAACCCAAAATTTCAAAATTTCCGTTTAAGTCTCATAATCAAGAAAAGGAGAAACACAGAGAGAGAGAGAGAAAAAACTATGAGAACCCCCCCCCACCCCGTGATTATCAGCGTACACACTCATCGAAAAAAAATTTGGATTATTAGAAGAGAGAGGTCTGCGGCTTCCACACCGTACAGCGTGGTTTTTCTTCTCGGTATAAAAGCAAAGTTGTTTTTGATACGTGACAGTTTCCCACAAGCCAGGCTGATCCTTTTCTGTCAGTCCACTTCACCAAGGTGAGTGTCCCCGCTCTCCCCTACCAGATGTGGGCCGCATTGGAGGAGATGGCAGGGAGGTAGGCACCGGGGGGTCAGGGGCCCTCTGGTACATTGGGATGTACCCAGCTACCGTGATTCCAGCCAGGTAAGGTCTTTAAAAAAATAATAATAGAATAAATGGCAGAAGACTTAAAGGTGAAGTACTTAATGCATGGGCAGGGGCAAAGATAAATGAATTCATCAATTGATACGTAGATGGATAGGATTTTTAAAATATGTCAGCTGCCAGTCTTTATGGATTTCAGAGCTTTGAACAACTTGAAATGCTGTCCAGGTGCAACTGAAAATTTCAACTGCATCTCTCTCATCTCTTTGTCTCTTAGCTCTTGATGCCTCTCATCCTTCTCTGTCTCTCTGCTCACCCTGTCTCGCTCTTTTACGTGTTTCTCTGCCTCTCTTTCTCCCGCCATCTGTCTGTTGCTACACTCAGACTCTCTTTCCCCGCATCTCTCCTGGCCTCTGACCATCTCCCCTGTCTCTGTCTCCTCCATCTTGACTACACTCCATCGATCTCCTTTCCTCCATCTCTCCCACTCTCTTTTCTTGCCTTCCCCCCACCCTCCCGCCATCCCAGCCAGCATCCAGCCTAGAGCTTTGTACACAGCTGGCGCTTAATAATAGTAATGTCACTGAGGACCTTTACATTTTATGAGAGTGAGCATCAGTTCTGTTCACCCTGGTAGCAGGATTGCAAGGTGCCTGGGCAAGCTGAGCACTTAACTGAACTTTGCGTGTATCACTTTAGAGGAGACCCTTGGGGTGGGGGTGGGGGCAGGGAGCACTTCACGCCATTGTCAACCATGGTTTAGCTGTGTGGACCTACCCCAGGACTGCATGTGTGTGACCAGAGTCCATGTTCAGGAAGCGAGCAGGTGGTTCAGGGCTGGGATGAGCTTGATTCTGCAGGCTTAGCATAGCGTTTGGCACACAATAAGTGCTCACGAAGTGTTAGCTAGTAGTATCTCTGTAACCAAATTAGAATCATGCTATATATTGGTTTTGTTCCTGCTTTATTCAATTAATAGTAGTGTTTTTGAAGCTTACTAAAAATTGTTTGAATACATGATCTTTCCTGAGGGATAAGACTGTCCTCACATCAGCATGAACTTTGATTGATTTGACCAAGTGCCAGTTGTTGGACATTCCAGTTGTTTCTTGTTTTTTTCTATAAACTTCCCTGACTGCTTCCTTGGATTCCTGAAAAGGGAGTTGCTGGGGCAAAGGGAACATGCGTTTTTAAAGTTTATGACCCTCTCTGCAAATTCTCCTTCCAAAAGATTGTCCTATTTTATGCTCCCTCTACTTAACCTAACCCTGGGTGAGTATTATTATGTTTTAATTATTTCCCAACATTACAGGTAAGAAAAACACATTATCACATTGTTGAAATTTGCATCTTTTGATTACTTTTACTGTTCGTTGGCCATTTGTGCTTTTTTCTTATTATTTTTTTCTTTTTTGGTTGTCTGGTCACGTCCTTACGTCCTTACTCCTAATAGGGTGTTCATCTTATTTTTCTCTTATTGATTTGCCACAGCTGTTTATTTGGAATGGTTATTAACCTTTCATCAGCCATACATATATAGCAAATATTTTCCCCAATTCATCATTTGTTTTTTTCTATTTGTTTATGGTGTTTTTTTGTGATGCTTATGATGGTTTTATATAGTCAAATAGGTTAGTCTTTTTTTCTGTGGCTTCTGTCTCTGGTTTTGTGCTTAGAAAGTCCTTTCCCACTTGAAAATGAGATAAATGTTCACCTATGTTGGCTTCTAGTCTCTTTTATGGCTTCATTTTTTCCATTTACTATAGAGGTTAAGAGTGTGGGTACTGGAGCCAGACTGTCTGGGACAAACCCAGCGTCACCCCAAGCCATATGTGTGATTTTTAGCCAGGCACTTAACCTCTCCGTACCTCCATTTCCTCATATGTACTGCAATGATTATAATAGTACCTTCCTCAGGAGTCTTTGTTTAGATTAAAATTTTTAACCACAGTAAATACTTAGCACAAGGCCTGACACACAATAAACCCAAGATCAGCATTAGGTATTAAAGCTTATATCTTGAATGGATCTGGGTATTTTAGGGTATATGATGGTGGTGACATTTCAAACTGGGCAGGGAGGGGTTGTTGGGATAATGGACTGATTATTCATTCAATAACTTTATCTTCTCTGTAATTATCTCAGACACATTTGTTAAACAATCCATCCTCCATGGTCCTCCAGTTTGAAATGCCACATTCATCACAAACTCAGTTCTCTCCATACGTGGGTCCATGTCCAAGCTTTCTGTTCTGTTCTCTTCCCCAGTATCTGTTCTTATAGCAGGACCACATTGTTTTGCTGATTGTTGCTTTGCAATACAATTCAATACCCAGCCATGGGCGTCCCTGGCACCTTGTCCTTCTTTATTCTTGATTATTTCAGGCAGCATCAGTTGAACCAGCCAGAAACCAGCAAATGTTCTTATTTGAGGCAATCCTCTCGCGCGTATGCACTCTGGCTCTCCATGTATGTCTCCATTTCTCTCAGTGTCTCTATCTCTTGTTCTCTCTTGCTCGCTCTTTGTGTGTGTCTCTTTGTCTCTATGTATCCCTATCTCTCAGCCAGTCCCCTGGATAGAGGGGCACTTGTCAACTTGAAGCCCTGCAGACACCTAATGACTTAACCAGACACAGTGTAGAAGGGCCCTGGCCCTCATCGACTCCACGCCTCTCCCTGTTCAGTGTAGAAGGGCAAATTGAGGACCAGAGATCCCAGGGTCTCGCCAAAATGCAGCGGCAGAGTTGCAATCCAAGCCTAGATCTCAGGACTCTAGGTAGGACCCTGGCTCTGGCTCTCTCCTCAACTACAGGCCTCAGTTTATCCCTCAGCACCCAGAAGGGGGAAGGGGGACCTGGGCTACCATTCCCCCTTCTGCCTTCTCACACATTGGACCCCAGCTTCTCACAGGTTGGACGATCCACGATCACAGTGTGGGGCCCAGCCTCACAAGAGCTGGGCTAGGTGAGGCCCTGGGCTCCATGGGTCAGGAGGCCTAGTTGGCCAGAGCGTGGTGATGATGGAGGAATGTCAGTCAGTCAGGCTGTGTGTCCCCAGAGCTGGTGCTGGTCCCTGAAAACCTTGGTTGTGGGGCCCCTCCAGAGAGTCTGGTGATGGGCTCTGTATTGGTGAAGGCCGAGACTTTTCCAGCTCCCCCGATGAGGCCCAGGCCAAAGGCACACCAGCCTCAACCACCTCCTCCCCGTTGCCATCTCTGGCGGAGTGGCCATGTATTTGGGAATGTTGTTCCAGAGTGGACAGGGAGACTGAGGCCCTGGGGAGGCTAGCTGTGGTTCCAGGTCTGGTAGGCAAGAGGCCCTATAAAGCAGCAAGCTGCCTGACTTTCAGGTGGTTCCAGGGAGTTTGGATACCAGGGACACTGGCCCTACACATACTGAGACATTGGGACCATAGACCCCACAGTCTGTGGTTTTGAGATTCTAGGATCCTTTAAATCTAAGAAATGCTGCTCTATAATTCTGAAGTCCTGGTGTTATACTATTTGAAGACCCCAGGGGTCCCAGTATCTGTGGAGCCTGCCTAGCACTCTCAGAGCTTCAAACCTGGGTCCTCTCCACAACCCAAGAAGGGCCAGGTCTACAGAGCTAGAGGCTTGTCACGGTGGCCAGATGGACACCACATCCACTAGCACCCACGTCACCCCACCTGGGCCAAGCCTGCTGCAGGACAGGGCAGCCAATTCTCGGAACGAAACCTGTGGGGTGGGGTATCTGCCCTCTTCTCTTCCTCCGTGGTGTCGATGAAGCCCGGTGCATCCGGCCGCCATGACGTCAATGGCGGAAAAATCTGGGCAAGTCGGGGGCTGTGACAACAGGGCCCAGATGCAGACCCCGATATGAAAACATAATCTGCGTCCCAGAAACATCCCCCATGCAGCTTCTGAGAAACCCAGTCAGAAAGGGATGTCCCAACAGACAGTGCAGGAAGCCGGCTGCCCAGCCCGGCCCTCTAGGTCCCCTACCCCCAGACAGATCATCTCCACATCCCTGTCTGAAAATGTATCTATGCTTCACTGAGTCAGGCCATCCCACATGTGTTTGGGGAGAATTCTTAGCTCTGGCCAAGTGTCCAGGCAGCTTCAGAAGTGACCGCAGGCCAGCCGCATGGGCCAGGCCAGAATGGTGGAAAACATCCATTTGCACCAAAATCGGTATTAGTTTGTTCTGGCTGCTATAACAAAGTACCACAGCTGAGTGGCTTCAGCAACAGAAATTGATCATCTCACAGTTCTGGAGGCTAGAGTCCAAGGTCAAGGTGTTGCCAGGGTTGGTTTCTTCTGGGGGCCATGAGGGAGAAGCTGTTCCAGGCCTCTCCCCCAGCTTCTGGTGGTTGCTGGCAATCTTTGTTATTCCTCGGCTTGAAGGAACATCACCCCATCTCTGGCTTCATTCATTCACTCACCTTCTCATCTCACCAGTGCTCTCCCAGGCCCTTGTTTGGAGCCTCCACAGACCCACACTCCTGTTTCTCACGAAGTAATGTTCTAAGTCCCCAGGAGACTAAGAACTTAATACCTGGATTCTCACACTCATCTCCCTCAGCACCACAGCTCTGTCAACCCCCAGGAGGTGACAGCAAAGAAAGGAAGGAGCAACTGCTCCCCCAGAACCCTTCCATACTCCCCCGGGCTGCTCTCAGCAGCTGTGTGCCCAACTCAGTGCTGTGAGGTGGAACGGAGAGACGGAGACACACAGACACACAGACACACACATACACACACCAGAGAGTTTATAAAATGTGCACACAGAAACACTTCCTAAAGAAAGAAGTGGAGTTCTCAAGTCACTATGGGACTATGGAACTCAGCATCTGAGCATCCCCTTCTGTAATAATGGGGTTGGCTGGGCAGTCTCTTCCAGCTCTGGCTTCCTCTCAGACCAGGATTACAGGATCCTGAAAAGCCAGTGCTTCCCTCGGGGAGTGGAAGATTCTGGGGCTCAATAGAGGGGCCTGGAGCCATTGTGGAGGGCTTTCAAGGTGAGGACAATAGAAGAGCAGGCCTTGCGTGGCTTGGACAGGGGAAGAGGAGGAGTGGGCATTTGAGGCAGGGTGAGTAGGATGAGCCAGGCTCGAGGGCCAGAAATTGGAGTGAACTCTGATGGGGATTGGGTTGAGAAGCTTCTACAGGCCCCAGCTCAAGAGACCCTGTCTCTCCTCCTCTCTGTCACTTGCCATGCTGGATCCGTGCATGATCACACTCCTGGACTCGCCTCCTTGCCCTGAGATCCAGACCCCCGTATTCAGCTGCCCCCTCAGCTCCTCCACTCACACATCTAATGCCAGACTCTTCATGTCTATCCACACCTGCACTTTTGCCCCCAATCCAACTCCCCGCCATGTCCCCCATCTCAGGTAATGTCAGCTCGGTCCTTCCAGCTGCTCAAGCTAAAACCCATGTTACTTTGACCCTCCCTCTTACCCACTACATCCAAGCTGCCAGCACTGCTCCTGATCCAGCTGCAGATTAAGTCTCAGAATCTACCCACTTCTCACCATCTCCACTGCCACCAGCCCATTCTGTGCCAGCATCATCATTTGCCAGGACTATTGCAATAGCCTTCTCACTAGCTCCACTCACAGCGGCCAGATGAATCTTTTGAGTCCGTGCCTAGTCACTGGGGCAAAATAGGACTCCCAGGAGAAAGTCCAAGACCAGCTCCGGCAACATGAGCAAACACAGCCTGTGCAGGGTGCGGGAGGGCCGGAGGCCTGAGGCTTGAAACAGCTCTCAAGTGGAGGGAGAAACAACCATTGCCCTCATAGAGGACACATCTACACCAGGGCTGTGCTAGCGTGGGCAGGCAAGCCAGGTGCTGGACCTCTGCATGTGGGGCGTGTGTGGGTATGCATGTGTACCTGTGTTTTTGTGTGTGTGTGTGTGTGTGTGTATGTGTGTGTGTCCAGAGCTGGGGTGCAGCTGTGGGACCCCTCGGGACATGTCCCAGCCAATGCCTGCTCTGACCAGAGGGGTGTCCACGTGGTTCAGGTGGTTGAGTATCTTATACCGCCCTAGGACATGTGTGACTCCTTTCCCCTATTGTCTACACAGCCTGCCCTTGGACAAGGACCCGATGCCCAACCCCAGGCCAGGCAAGCCCTCGGCCCCTTCCTTGGCCCTTGGCCCATCCCCAGGAGCCTCGCCCAGCTGGAGGGCTGCGCCCAAAGCCTCAGACCTGCTGGGGGCCCGGGGCCCTGGGGGAATCTTCCAGGGCCGAGATCTTCGAGGCGGGGCTCATGCCTCCTCTTCCTCCTTGAACCCTATGCCACCATCGCAGCTGCAGGTGAGGCCCTGGGCCCAGGATGGGGCAGGCAGGGTGGGGTACCTGGACCTACAGGTGCCGACCTTTACTGTGGCACCGGGCGGGAGGGGGGCTGGCTGGGGCACAGGAAGTGGTTTCTGGGTCCCAGGCAAGTCTGTGACTTATGCAGATGTTGCAGGGCCAAGAAAGTCCCCACCTGCCAGGCCTCAGAGATTGGAGGCTCTCCCCAACCTCCCAATCCCTGTCTCAGGAGAAGAGGAGGCCATATTATAGTCCCATGGGCACAGCTATGTGTCCCCATCCCCATGTGACAAGAGGAGAGGACTGGGGCCAAGGAGGTGAGGTGATAAGGTTGAGGCCAGCTCTGCGACTTATTAGCTGTTTGATCTTTAAAAAGTTACTCGATCTCCATAAGCCTCAGTTTCCACACGTATAAAAGGGGGACGATCATAGCATCTACCATGTGGGCTTGCAGTGCAGAGTATATGAATTAGACACAGAACACTGAGGATCAGGATGGCCTCTCACCCACCTGCCTTTCTGCCCAGCTGCCCACACTGCCCCTAGTCATGGTGGCACCCTCCGGGGCACGGCTGGGCCCCTTGCCCCACTTACAGGCACTCCTCCAGGACAGGCCACATTTCATGCACCAGGTATGGACGGTGAATGGGCAGGGAGGAGGGAGCAGGTGGGAGAACTGTGGGGAGGGACCCCAAGCCAGGCTGAACCACAGCCCACATGTGCCCCCCCAGCTCTCAACGGTGGATGCCCACGCCCGGACCCCTGTGCTGCAGGTGCACCCCCTGGAGAGCCCAGCCATGATCAGCCTCCCACCACCCACCACTGCCACTGGGGTCTTCTCCCTCAAGGCCCGGCCTGGCCTCCCACCTGGTAACACCTCAGCCCATACCCCATGGCTTCACAGAACCCCTGGGTCCCCAGATCCTTGGCCGTGAGCAGTGTAGGCTATTCTGAATTGCAGTCCTCTGAGGGTCAAAGGTGTCAGGTCTCAGAGGCTTGGAAACTCCAACCTCCAAAAAATGTCAGGTGCAGAACCTTAAAGATGCAGAATGTCAAAATCACGAAACCACAGAGCTTTACAAAGCTAGTCAAAATGTCAGCACCTGCGAATGGCCGTCTTTAAGCTTCTCTGCCAGAAGCCTGGGACTTTGGGGACAGCAGAGCCCCCTGGGAGTCAGGGTTTTTGAGGCTCAGGAGGGTGGGAAGCTCAAAATGAGAAGCGAGAAGCCTTGTGGGTCAAGCTCCAGAGCCCAGCCCACAGCCTCCAGAGATGCCCTGTCCCCACCCACAGGGATCAACGTGGCCAGCCTGGAATGGGTGTCCAGGGAGCCAGCACTGCTCTGCACCTTCCCAAATCCTGGTGCACCCAGGAAGGACAGGTCAGTGGACAGGGCTGGGAAGGATCCTCACCCTCCTATCCCCTCCCCTGACACCCTCTATCCCCCCAGCACCCTTTCGGCCATGCCCCAGAGCTCCTACCCACTGCTGGCAAATGGTGTCTGCAAGTGGCCCGGATGTGAGAAGGTCTTCGAAGAGCCAGAGGACTTCCTCAAGTGAGTGGCCCAGGCCTGTGCCAGTCCACTGGCCCTGGCTTGTGGGGAGAGGTCTGGGGTACAGATCTCAGCCCAGGCTTAATCCCAATAAGTAGTAAGATGAAAGAGCTAAACTCTGAGACTGTGGGTTCAAATCCCAGCTCCATCCCTGACTGGCTGTGTGACCTTGGACAAATTACTTAGCTTCTCTGGACCTCAGTTTCCTCATATGTATAATAAGAAACATTTGTTCTGTTATTTACCCCTATTTTACAGACAAGGAGACTGAGGCCAAAGAGGTTAAGTGCCTTGATCAAAATCTCCCAGTTCCTGAGTGACAGATCTGGGATTTGAACCCATGCAGCCAGGCTCCAGATTCTGCACTCCTAACTGCTTTGCCCTGCTACTCCTCATGCCAACATGCCAGCCTTATTCTACTGTCCCCAAAGTTCTAGCTCCTCTAGATGGCTGCTGCTGCCTCCCCTCAGTCCCCCCATGCCTCTCTCTCTCTCTCTTCTCTCTCTCTCTCTCTCTCTCACACACACACACTGCACACAACCCTTAGCAGCAACCCCGCATGTCCTGTCTTCCTTGCAGCCAGGCCTTTGCACAGGCCGTCCCCTCCACCCGGAATGCCTTGCCCACTCTCACCTCCCTGGCCCATTCTCAGCTCACCACACTTCCAATATTATCTCCAGCACCCTGGCCAGGCTCAAGTGGTGAGCTCAGGCCTGACATGCAGTAGGTGCCGAGTGGCATGTGTTAAGGGAATGAGGAGTATGAGACAGAGACTGAGATAGAGAGGGGAGAGGAGCTGGGGCTCAAACGAGAGACCTGCCAGAGGGTCTGGGCCCTCCCCATTCAGAGCACTGAGCCAGGCCAGGCCTGTCATGGTCACCTGCATGGAATCTTCTCCCTACTTAGGCACTGCCAAGCAGACCATCTTCTGGATGAGAAGGGCAGGGCACAATGTCTCCTCCAGAGAGAGATGGTACAGTCTCTGGAGCAGCAGGTAATGCCAGGGCAGTGGGGGGTAGGGGACAGGGATAGTACACAAAACCTTCTGTCCACCATGTGCCAGAAACCAAGTTCACCTGGGACGAGGGCTGATATAAAGGAAGGAAGAGGAGTGGGCACTCCCAGGGAATACCGTAGCCTGGGCAAAGATGTGGCAGAGAAGGGCCAGGCTGAGGCCTCATGTTTGTGCCATTTCACAGCTGGTGCTGGAGAAGGAGAAGCTGAGTGCTATGCAGGCCCACCTGGCTGGGAAAATGGCACTGACCAAGGCTTCATCTGTGGTGAGCGACCCCAGGACTGGTGGTGGCAGACTCAGACCGCTGGGGGGCAGGGAGGAGGTCTGCAGGGTGCAGGGAACCTAACCTCACATGCAGGTCCTGAGAGCTAGGGTCCCCTGTCCCCAGCTCCAAACATGCCCAGACCTAGAAATCTGTCCCCCTCCACTTACAAACCCTCTGACCCCAAGATCCCCAAACACTGTGATCCTGAGTTGTCAAAGCACATGCAAATAGCCAAAGACTTTCCAGACGCAGGCTGTGCGCCAGCAGGACCAGCTATGTAACCTGCAGGGCCCCTTGTTCAGATTTCAAGATGGCGACCACAGAGCATTAAACAAAGCACAGGGTGCCACATAACCACACAGGTCACACACCCATGAACCCAGCCCTGGAGGCCAGGCACTGTTTTTGAGTGCTTTGCTGGTGGTAGTTTATTTCTCATGATGCCAATGTACAGATGAGGAAAATTGAGGCCAGGGAGGTTTAGGTGACTTTCCCAAGGTCACGATTGAGTGGTAAAGAGCCCTATTCAACCCCAGCTCATGGTCTCAGCATCAGTGGCCACATACGACATCCACACCTGCGCTCTAATAAATATGGCTCATGCTGTTTTGTGGGATTCCACTTCAGACTGGAATTTAGAAGAGGGCGTCTTTGCTTTGGAAAACACTGATTTAAAAATAAAGTGGGGCCGGGTGCAGTGTGGCTCACGCTTGTAATCCTAGCACTTTGGGAGGCCGAGGCAGGTGGATCACATGAGGTCAGGAGTTCGAGACCAGCCTGGCCAACATGGTTAAACCCTGTCTCTACCAAAAATACAAAAATTAGCGGGGCATAGTGGCGGGCACCTGTAGTCCCAGCTATTCGGGAGGCTGAGGCTGCTTGAACCTAAAAAATTAGCCGGGCGTGGTGGCGGGTGCCTATCGTCCCAGCTACTGGGAGGCTGAGGCAGGAGAATGTCATGAACCCGGGAGGCGGAACTTGCAGTGAGCTGAGATCGCGCCACTGCACTCCAGCCTGGGTGACAGAGTGAGACTCCAACTCAAAAAAAAAAAAAAAAAGGAAGAATTGCTTGAACCCGGAAAGTCGGGGGATAGCAGTGAGCCGAGATTGCACCACTGCACTCCAGCCTGGGCGACAGAGCAAGACTCAGTCTCAAAAAAAATAAAAAGTAAAAAGTGGGAAGTTTAAGCCTCTGGGTCACCAGCCTCTACCCCTCCCCCAGGCATCATCTGACAAGGGCTCCTGCTGCATTGTAGCTGCTGGCAGCCAAGGCAGTGCCGTCCCAGCCTGGTCTGGCCCCCGGGAGGCCCCTGACAGCCTGTTTGCTGTGCGGAGGCACCTGTGGGGTAGCCATGGAAACAGCACATTCCCAGGTAAGAATGGTCCTTGCACTACACAGTGCTCCCAAGCTCCTAATCCTGACAGGCTCTGGGAGGAGGGTGCAAAGGAGCTCCATGCTGCCCCTTCCCACCACCACCACCGCCGCAGCTGCCACCACTCAGCCTTTGGGAAAATGCATCCGCTCACAAAAGCTTCCTTTCAGAATGTTCGTGGCCTGAAAGTCCCCCATATGGTCTCGAGTGTCTGGCCCCTAGCTCTGACTCCCCTGGGGATTGGGGCCATGCCTCACCCACTCTGGACTCCAGCTACTACATTCGGCCATCAGAAGGGAGGGACCCTGCTAAGTAATTCCAGGAGCACCTCCTTTCCTCCCCTGACCAAGGAAAATCGGGGTGGATTCGCCCGAGCTCACCTATCCACTGCTGTCCACCAGGCCTGGCCTGTAGGCTTAGCAGGGATCAGAGACCTTGACTGTCATCCTGACTCTGCCATTTAACCTCTTGCATCCTTTGGTATGCAAGTTACTCTGCTTCTTTGCAACCTCGGGGAGAACTATTTTGGCAGAAGTGGTGCAAAGAATAAATGATACAACTTATGTCAGGTGCTCAGCAAACAGTACCTGTGCCCGTGGACACAGGTGTTGACGGTGAGATCTCAGGCCTGTAGACTCACCTTGTAGGGAGAGGGGACAGGGAGCTAGCTAGGAGGTCCTGCATGGGGCTTGATTCATCCCCACCCTCTGACAGAGTTCCTTCACAACATGGACTACTTCAAGTTCCACAATATGCGACCCCCTTTCACCTATGCCACGCTCATCCGCTGGGTAAGCAGGGCAGCTCGGCCCCAAGGAGGAGGAAGACAAAGATGGGGTGGGGGACCTGCCTCCCAAACTCCTGTCTCCCTCTGAGCGCCCTCAGAGTGGGTTCCTCCATTCCCAAGCCCCAGCCCCAAGGAGCCCCAAGCCACGCCTCAAATGTGACCCCTCATGCTAGCTTCACCCCAAACCTGTCCACGAATCCAAACCTAAACCACTATCCAGGCCAGAGCATGCCAAATTCTGACCCTAAACCTATCCCCTTCCAGATGTCCACCTCAGCCCCATACCTAACCCTCTCCTGGACCTATAAAATAGCCCAAAGCTAACCCCATCTCTGCACCTTGCCCTAAACATACCCCAGCTCTTACTCTAACTCCTTCCCCAGCCTTTATGCCAACCCAACCCCATCTCCTTCCCTGGCCCCAACGTACTCCAGTATGTCAATACACCCCCAGCTGGGCACCATTCCCAGCCTTTCCTTGTAACACTCATCTGACCCTTAACTTCATCACCCCATCCCAACTCCTTCATCTCAGCATCCCCAATGCCTTCTCAGAACCTTCATCCTAGCCCCACACCTAACCCCAAACCTGAACCTCACCCCTACATGATACCAGACATTCCCCAACTATCTCTGAACTGAAGCCCTGACCTAGTCCCATCCTGACTGATAACCTCACTGCAATCATCATCGCTGACTCTGTAATCCCATTCCTGAATTCAAACTGATCAAATTCCCTGACCCTCAGCCTCACTCCACACCGAACCCCACAACTAACCTCATCCTTGCCCCGAGCCTGATCACCTAACCACGTCCCTGACATGTAAGATACTCAATAATTCAACCCATCTCTGGCTCCTGACTTAAAGCCACATCATCCCATCCCTCACCCCTAGACCCACCTGAGTTCACCCCCAGCCTGACTCTTAACCCACCCCTTCCCTGACCCTTAAGTTGGCCTTGCCCTTTACCCCTTCCAAATCCTTGACCCCACTTCTGACCCTTCACCTTCCCCAACCCTGAAATGTCACCTCCACAGAGAACCCCAACTCCAACTCCATCCCAGACCTTTCACCTCACTTCAGCCCTAGCCCTGAACAAGACCCCACTCCCAACCTCAGTCCTGATCCGTTACCTAATCCCAGAACAACCATACCCACACCCCACATCTAACCCTGCCCGACCCGACACTTCACCCCTTTTCTAACTCCATCTTTGACCCCATGCTTCACCCCACATCTAGTCCTGTCCCTGATTATCTGCCCCCACAATTCCACCCCCATGTCAGATGGCTCAGGGTAGGTCACAGCCCCTCTAAACCCCAACTTTGGGGAACGTGCCCCTTATCCCACCCCCCAACTTCCAGGCCATCCTGGAGGCTCCAGAGAAGCAGCGGACACTCAATGAGATCTACCACTGGTTCACACGCATGTTCGCCTTCTTCAGAAACCATCCTGCCACCTGGAAGGTGAGCTCCTCTGAGGTGGCGGTGGCTGGGATGGCCTCAAGTGCCACCGCAGCTCAAAGTGGGCAGGCCTGGGGCTGGGCTTATAGGCATATTGGGGAGGAATGGGATGTGGGTTGCTGGTGGTGGCTGCTGGCCTCAGAGGTTGACGCCCACCTGCTCCCTGTCCCCGGCCTTCTACAGAACGCCATCCGCCACAACCTGAGCCTGCACAAGTGCTTTGTGCGGGTGGAGAGCGAGAAGGGGGCTGTGTGGACCGTGGATGAGTTGGAGTTCCGCAAGAAACGGAGCCAGAGGCCAAGCAGGTGTTCCAACCCTACACCTGGCCCCTGACCTCAAGATCAAGGAAAGGAGGACAGATGAACAGGGGCCAAACTGGTGGGAGGCAGAGGTGGTGGGGTCAGAGATGACAGGCCCTGGATGTGCCCACAGGGAACAAGAAGTGAGATTTCCACTGTCTTGCCTGCCAGGGCCCCTGTTCCCCCATTGGCAGCCATCCCTCCCCCATCATATCCTTTGCCCCAAGGCTGCTCAGAGGGGCCTCATTCCTGGCCCCAGCCCCGACCTCTGCCCCAGACACACCCCCCAGTCGAGCCCTGCAGCCAAACAAGAGCCTTCACAACCAGCCACACACAGCCTGCCTCAGCTGCTCGCACAGATGACTTCAGGGCTGGAAAAGTCACATAGACACACAAAATGTCACAATCCTGTCCCTCACTCAACATAAACCCCAAAACACAGAGAGCCTGCCTCAGTACACTCAAACAACCTCAAAGCTGCATCGTCACACAATCACACACAAGCACAGCCCTGACAACCCACATCCCCCAAGGCGCACACCCACAGCCAGCCTCAGGACCCATAGGGGCACTGTCACACGGGTGTGCCCAGAGGCCTACACAGAAGCAGCGTCAGTACCCTCAGGATCTGAGGTCCCAACACATGCTCACTCACACACACGGCCTGTTAGAATTCACCTGCGTTACCTCACGCATGTGCACACGCACAGCCCCACAGTGGGTCTCTTGAGTCCCATGCAGACATACACAGCCACACACACTGACTTGCCAAAAATATCCCATTGTCTCCCCTGCCACTCACCTCACTCCCATTCTCTGAGCCCTGATCCATGCCTCAGCTTAGACTGCAGAGGAACTACTCATTTATTTGGGATTCAAGGCCCCCAACCCACAGTACCATCCCCAATAAACTGCAGCCGAGCTCCCCACATGCTGGACTATCACCCCATATAAGGGCTGCGGTCAGTGGGCAGGGGTCTGGGTCCAAGGCTGCAGCAGGAGGAACTGGGCAGTGGAGGAAGTAGCTAGGGCATGTGCTTGGCCACCGCCTCTAGCACCCCAAATCCCTGCCTGAGGCTGGGGAGAGACCTCTGCCGGCAGCTCCTCAGGCCTCCCGGACCCGGCCCAGGAGGCCAGCGTTCTCCTGGCGGAGGGCTCGGTAGTCCTCCCGGATCTTCTCCAGGTTGCTGAGGGTCTTCTTGCCCAGCTCTGTCTCGATCTGAGGCAACGTGAACACATGCCCCCTCAGCGCACACACAGCCCCTTTCCCAGCTCCTGCTCGCCAGCCCCCATCACAGCTACTCTGGGCCCCTCCCACCACCTTCAACAACAGCCTGCTCTGTCCCATGGCCAGGACTCACGTGGTGTTCCCTCTACCCAAAGCATCCTTTGCCATGTGGCAGGATTCCCCCTACATCTTTAAACTGAAGCCTTTGCCCATGGCCCTGGGAGGCAGGAAGGAGGGCCCTTGCGGTGGAAGCTGGGGCTCACAGTAGGCCACTTGCCTGTCCCAGGTCACAGGCACAGGCACTAAGGGGCAGGGCTGGGTGTCCAGCCATAGGCTGTGTCTGGCTCCACGGCCTCTCTCAGCATAACCTGAGCAACTGTCCCCCCGCCTGCCCTGGCTCCCCATCCTGCCCCCAGGCCTTACCTGCTCCTCGAGGTCTCGAACCTCCCGCATGATGGTGCCTGTGTCCTCAATGGTCTGGATGAGCTGGCTGCAGTTCTGGGGACAACAGGAGCAGAAGGCTTGCACCCAGCCCCACCCACCCCCAGCAGCCCCACCCCAGGCACATGTCTCCCCTCACCTCGTGCAGGGCAGCTAGATACTTATAGGCCTTCCGAACAGCATCGTCCTTCTTGGCATCCTGACCAGACACAGGGACCTCAAAGGTATCAGTGGGCTGCCCTTGACCATCTCCATGCCCTAAGAAGGCCACCCTCTCCCACCACCCCACTAGCTTCATCCTCCATGAAACAAAGCCGGCCCTGGGCATCAGTGCACCTCCAGCCTCGCACAGGGCCTGGGTCTGGACCCCAGCCAGCCCGTTAGCAGATGCACAAGGCAGCAGCCCAGCCTCACCCCACTCACCCCCGCCCAACCTGCCCCACACCTTGAACACAAGCTCATCAGTCACCGCAAACGTCCGGTCCAGCTTCCCAGATAGGGAGTTGATTTCCTTCTGAAGCTCCTTCGTGTCAGACAAGATCTGGCAGACACCATGGTGGCCATGAGCCCCTGCCTGGGGCAGGCTGGCTGCAGTGGAGGGTCCTCATGTGCACCAGACAGGGACTGTGTCACTGTGTCAGGGGTGACTGGGATGGATTGTGTGTGACTATTCTGTGTTAGAGTGCGACTGGACAGCTCCGCCTGAGGGTGTGAGGTCCCTGTGTGCAGCCACACTATGCCTGACAGCCCACATGACCCACCCTCCGTGGCCCTGGCGGCGTACCTTGGTGATCTCTTCCTTCTGCTTCCGGATGTTGCCCACGATCTCCAGGATGCGCTGGGTGTAGGCCAGCCGGGACACATCTCTGGGCAGAGTCTCCAGCTCTGACACCTAGGCAGGGACATAGCAGGCACTGCCCCAGGACCTGCCCCCCACCCTCCTAAGCTACCCAGGTCCCTCACACAGGCCTTACCAGCTGTTTATAGACCTCCTCCTTCCTGCGGGCCTCTTCAGCAGCTGCCCGGACACTCTGGTGCAGTTCTTGGATCTCTGCCAGCCGTCGAGAAGATTCCAGCTGCCAGGAGCCCACAGGCAGAAGACAGTGAGCAGAGCACAGGGATGGTCCCCTAGAGAGGAAACGAGTCTTCCCTGGCCTGCCCACAGCCCAGTGCCCCACTGCTTACCTCTCTGCAATCCTGCAGCTTTCGGAGGTGGCGGTACTCAGCCAGGAGTGGGACCCGGTGCTTCTCCCACTGACCCGCCAAGTGGATGACCCGCTGGGCACTATTCTCCACCACAAGCTGGTGGGGGGTGGGTATGTGTCACACAGGCTGGGCCCTCCAACCCCGCCCAGCCACGCCCTGCCTCTCCCCCCCCAGCCACATCCCCAACCCCACCTGCAGCTTGGCAAGGTTGGCAGCCCCATCAGGCAGCAGCTCCACCGTGCGGCTCTTCAGGCGCAGGGCCTGCTCACGCTCCGCTGTGCTGAGCTCGCTCTGCCGGCACTCAGACTCTGCCTGGCCCGCGGACACCCAGTCACATGCCACAGCCCCCATGGAGCTCCACAGATGACTGTACACCCCCGTGGCCCCCACAGGCCTCTCTGACAGCTCCACGCTGGTGCCAAGGACCCCGAGGACCCCCTAATCCCCTGTCCATGCAGACCCGTGGTGCCCCACAGATGCCCACAGACCCTCTGAGGACCCCTCAATCCCCTGCCCATGCAGACCCACGGTGCCCCATAGATGCCCACAGACCCTCACCCCGGCCTGATTCTCACAGCCACCCTCAAGAGGCCCACGGATCCCCAACGGCTCTCAGGAACCCTTCTGCCATGTGCAGACCTCTACAGAGCACCTCTTGTCCCGTCTAGTCCCTCACACCCTGAGGCCCTCCTTCTGACCTAGCCCAACGTGCAGCCCCTCCCCCTCCCCTCACCTGCACAAAGCTGACGCCCAGGGTTTTCATGTCAGCCTCAACCTCCTCAATGCTGCGGTTCACTCCTTCCAGCTGCTCCCGAAGGGACTCGAGCTCCTGTTCCTGAGCTGCCCATGTGTCCTGGGAGGCCCAGGCCAGTCAGGGTTGGGGTGTCAGGCCCAGTAGACAAGCAAGGGCCTGGGACACCCCCCCTCCAACCCACTCTGCTCACCTGTTCAGGCCGCCGGGAGGTGGCCGGCACATCTGACACCTGAGTGGCCTGGGTCTGGGGCTCCTAGGGGAGTGACGGGGGCATCCTGGTTGTCGGGGAAGGCCCTTCCTCACGTGGCCCAGCCTCAGCCTCCCCTGAGAACTGCCTCCAGTGCAGCATGCGTGCCCACTCAAGCACTGATGGCGGCTAGACTGTGACTATGTGGGTAAAGGCAACATCTGCAACCTCAGGCCAGAGTGCTTGCTCATGGAGAAAGCTCCCTGACCCTGACACAGCTCCTACCCACCTGCCCATCTCTCAAGCCTCAAATGCCCATGAGAAGGATGGGGGGGCCCTCAGAGTGAACATCTTAGGACAGAAGATATGCTCAAAGGAAACTGCCTGAGGAAAGGGGGTGTTGCCCCAAGAACACCCCCACACCCTTGCATGGTTCCCACCTATTCACATTTTCTCCAGTCAAGTCCCTAAGAAGCTAGGGGACCTCTGGGTACCCACCCCCAGTGGGCAAGGGCCTGTCCAGTGGGAACACAAGAACCTGTGTGTGGATAAAGGTGTGGCGCTGACACAAAAAGCCACCCTCCAAGCCTGCCACATCCAGCCACACATCCCATGTCCTCAGGTGCACCCACCAGATGGAAGGTGAACTTCTCTGAGTGCGTGAAGCGGGAGCCCTTAGGAGCACCAGTCTTGGCCCCAGCACCCCAGGCCTGCAGCAGCTCTCCCAGGTCTCGGGCTTGTATGGGGGCCCCAAGCAGGCCCCAGCTTTGGCGCAGATGCTCAGTCAGTTGCTTCTGCAGCCGCTGCCGCTGAGCCCGTGTGTCCTCCTTGGGAGAAAAGGCAGGGGAAGCAGAAGGATGTAGGGGCCCACCTAGCACCCAAGGCCCTGCCTCCTCCAAGGACCCCCTGACAAGAGTATACAAACAAGTCATCCCCACCCTCCAGCCTTCCCACTAAGGCAGGCCCTGCTCTGCTCTACTGCTCCACCAGCCCGGGATCTCCTTGAGGAAAGGGGTCTCCTCTTGCTCACAGACATACTTCTCTCCACCCACTAAATCCCCATGCTGGAGAAGAATGTGGGAAGACAGCGGGGTGAGCCTAGAGCCCCCAAATCCAAGAGAATCATAGACAGGTTATCAGGGGACAGAGCAGAGACAGGGAATCAAAGGTACCAGGTACAGAAGGAGGCAAAGAGAGAGAGGCAAGAGAGGGACAAGAACAGAGAGTTTCAAGATAACTGGGAAAATCTGATTATGAACTCAGTGTTGGATGGTATTAAGATATCATTGTTGGCTGGGTGCAGTGGCTCATGCCTGTAATCCTAGCCCTTTGAAAGGCCAAGCTAGGCAGATCACCTGAGGTCAGGAGTTCAAGACCAGCCTGGCCAACATGGTGAAACCCCAACTCTACTAAAAATACAAAACTTAGTGCACTCCACCTCCAGGAGGTGGAGGTTGTACTGAAGTGAGATCTCACCATTGCACTCCAGCCTGGGCAACAGAGTAAGACTCCGTCTCAAAAAAAAAAAAAGAACAAAAACCACAAGATATCATTGTTAACTTCATTAGCCATGAAAATGGTCCAGTGGTTACCTTGAAAACTGAATGTCCTCATGAGTTAAGAGATGTAATCCTAAGTATTTAGAGTTGAAATGACATGATGTCTGGAATTTGCTTTAAAATAATACAGCAACGAAGAAAAATTTGGGAGAGAACAGATGAAGAAAAGTTGGCAAAATGGCACATAGGATTCACTAGAATATTCTCTCCACATTTATGTTTGAAAATTACTATAGATTATAAAAACAGAGACAGATGGCCGGGCGCGGTGGCTCACACCTGTAACCACAACACCTGGGGAGGCTGAGGCAGATGGATCACGAGGTCAAGAGATCGAAACCATCCTGGCCAACGTGGTGAAACCCCGTCTCTACTAAAAATACAAAAATTAGCTGGGCATGGTGGTGCACACCTGTAGTCCTAGCTACTTGGGAGGCTGAGGCAGGAGAATCACTTGAACCTGGGAGGCAGAGGTTGCAGTGGGCCAAGATCGCGCCAATGCACTCCAGCCTGGGCGAAAGAGGAAGACTCTATCTCAAAAAAAAAATAAAAATAA